CTCAGTAATATTTCATATATGTGTTTTTAACACTAGAGGGCTAAACTGGACCTTTCAGTAACTTTACAAGTCGGCATGAGTAAATTCCTGACCTGTCACAATATACAGCAATCATTTTTCAGAAATCTTCTCATTTTATCTTTGAAAAGCCTTCCTTGAGAAGCTGCTGGTGATTTTGCCATGGGTGAGAAGATGTATTCAGTCTGTTGCAGGCAGGGCGAAGCAATTCCTCAGTCTCCTTCCTCCATAGTCGTCAGATTGTAGCATTATAACTTTATAGCAAGTCACAAGTGCAGAGGATTTACATGGTTGTGTCATCTCAGACCCATCATCTACAGCAGGGAAGTAGATGTTACTCTGGATGCCCCTCCCTCTTAGATTGTAAGCTCCAAGGAGCAGGGCCCTCCTTAGCCCTTTTGTATTGTTGCTGTGTTGTCTCCCATTATATTGTAAAGCGCTGAGCAAACTGCTGGCGCTATATAAATTTTGTTTAATAATAAGGTCATCTTTCTGGAGTACAATACTGATGAAGGTATTGTCAGGCCATGTACGGTGATCTCTGTGAGAGGTAAAGAACGTTTAGAAGAGTTACACTCCTCATATATTATGGTTTCACCGGTATCTGTACTGATACTACGCACAAGTATTTGTAGTTGTGCAAATGCTCCCATACGTAAAACCAATATATTTCAGGTGCCATTTGAGCCCATACAAAATGAATGGTCACAAATCGCACTGAAAAGGATAGCATGTGATTCCTGTCCATATCGCATGCGGTTTCCCACACTGCAAGAGAGGAGAGGGAGGGGGAGAGAGGCACTAAGCAGCCAATAGTGTAGCAATGTTCAATAAAAGGGTTAATAGACCATATTGCACTCATACATCACTAGTGACAGGCATTAAACAAGCTCAGTGTGGAGTCCCCAGTCCAAAGTTCTGTCCCCACTAGAACCGCTGGTGAAAGTGTTGGGAAGCCGAACCGGGATTACAGGCAAGCCACCGTGGGAGACTCAACCCGTTGAACTGTCAGATGTCCAGGATGCTGTGGCCAATCAGAATTCTGATGGAGGCACGATTTGTCCTCTGAAATGTGCTCTGATGGCAAATAGGCCAAAATACTCCTTAAGTTGTGAACTTCTTCAGCATGATAGGTTACAGGTCTTGCCCTTTTTGTGCCCCCCTCCTGCTGAAGCACCCAAAGGGGGCCACCTCTTCTGCTCACACCTTGGCCTGGTCCTTGTCAGATTTCTGAGATGCAATGAAAGCTCCGTGGGTCACCACTGAACAAAGTTTTTCAGACCCAGATTACATGGTTTGGAAGCGAGCACCCTCTTCAGATTATCTATCTAATGCCCCCTGTAGCAGACAGGCAGTAGACATGGGTGCACCCTTTTAGAGGTATAAATTGCTACATCAGATTTTACTTCAACAGATCTGACCCACTCGTACATATCAAAACCTTGGCACTGGCAGTTTTCATATTTGTTCAACTATTACAAAGTGCCAGGATATATGCAGTGCATTCAGTGGCTCCTATGATACTGAGCCTAATTTGACAAAGTTTAATATCAATCAACCTTTCCCGTTGCTCTTTCTGATTCTTTTATTCTGTAAATTATTCACTGCAAAATTCTTATGAAGTGTCATGTTTTATACTTCTGTTTTCTGAGCACAATAGAGTAACAACAATCTTCTGCCTTTTTTTTTCCAGGCTCTATCTCATAAGACTCTAGTGATGCTCCTTGGTGTGGACCCAGCGCTTCAGAGTGACCAGCCCTTACCCACCGCTCACCCACAGGTCACCTATGCCTACATGAAGTACATGTGGAAGAGCACTCGAAAGGTACTTACTGTGCATCCATGCTTTGTATCAAGTGCTCGGACTTGCCTAGATGCAGGATCACAAGCCATTTGAGGCTTCAGAAAAAAATGCTTGTGTTCCTTTTTGATTTTGTTTTTTTTTTTTTTTTTTTTTTTTTAGAATGATTAAAGCTGGCCATAGATGGATTGAAATCCCATTGAACTGGATAAATATCGATCCATTTGTGGCCACTCCCGCTCAAACATTTGACTTCTGTTAACCATTTCAATACCGTGCAATTTTACACCTTCCTGCCCAGGCCATTTTTCAGGTTTCAGCGCTCTTACACTTTGAATGACAATTGTGCGGTCATACAACATTGTACCCAAACTAAAATTTTATCATTTTCTTCACACAACTAGAGCTTTCTTTTGGTGGTATTTAATCACCGCTGGGGTTTTTATTTTTTGCTAAATTAACAAAAAAAGACCAAAAATTTTGAAAAAAAAACACATTTTTCTTTGTTTCGGTTATAAAAGTTTACAAATAAATAATTGTTCTTCATAAATTTAGGCCGAGATGTATTCTGCTACATGTCTTTGGTGAAAATAACCCAAATTAGGATGTATTTTTTAGTTTGTAGGAAAGTTATAGAGTTCACAAACTATGGGATAGATCTGAATATTGATCAATCCTGAAGTACTGACAGCCAATCTAATTTCTTGAGGTCCAAGAATGTCAGAATAGTACAGATATCCCCCAAATGACCCCTTTTTGCAGAGTAGACAGTCCGACGTACTTCATAAGAGGCATGGCGAGTTTTTTGAAGTTGTATTTTTATGTCATAATTTTTCGGAAAATGAAAAAATTAAAAAAATTATTTTCACTATTTTTTTTTTTACATACTGTCCCCAGTGCAGTACAGCGTCATCATATAACTGGCATGGCGGTTAACAGGGACACTGACTGGTGACAGTATGAAAAATATATATATATATTTTTTTTTTTTAAATTTTTTTAAATTTTTTTATTATATTTAATTGTTTATTACATTTTTTTTAATTTTTTTTTAAGATTTTTTTTTCATATTTTACTATGACCAAAGTAGTACAATGCTACCATAGTAACACTGTACTACTTTGGGGAAGTGATCAGTATTTTTTTTTATTTATTTTTTTACACAATTTGCTTATAGCAAAGAATTACTTTGCTATAAGCAAGCATTTACCTGAATGAAATCGATTCATTCAGCTTTTTTCTTTTTTTTTTTTTTTTTTTTTGCTTAGCTGTGATTTGGTCACAGCTAATCACATGACATGTGCATGTGATTAGCTGTGACCATTCACAGCTAGGCACTAGTATACAATGGATGGCATTATGAATGAAGCCATCCATTGTATACAACTGTCATGTGACCTGCTGTGATTGGTCACAGCAGGTCACATGGTACCAGCAACGGGAGCCGGTACTCGGATCTGTCATCGGCCGTGTCCGAGGTGCACGGCCCGTGACAGATCCCGCTGCTGCGCCGCTCTGCATTACCGCAAACGGCGCATGTGCAGGAGCACGCCAAATGGCGTGCACCTGGAATGAAGAGGCACATCTGAAGCCGCCAAACGGCCATTGGCCGGGCGGCTAATGGTTAAACAGGCTTGTTGGAAATTTTTTTTTGAGCGGCTACTGCAGCCAATGGGCTGCAACCACTGATCAGTGTATTCTGACTGCAGAGAGTCGCCACTGCTGTGGTATAGTATCTTGGTGGGAGGAGGATTCCTCTCTCCATCTTGACTGTGTAGGTGGAGGAATTCACTCATTTTATTTTCATTCAGCCCACTGGCTGATTTCAAAAATTTTAATCTATAATTTTGCCAGCCTAAGATTTACTTGAAACACTGGAAGTCATCCTAGACTTCTGAAGTTACTCTATATGGTGTGTAAATACATAGTCTTCACTTCAGTGTTCTGCTCTAGTACACCGCAGGAGCCCCTAAAAACATAAGATGCTTTGTATGTAAATTCTTAAGCAGACCTTGTCTCCAGACCATTCTTTTGAGCAAAAATATTCCTATAAAATTGTAAAAGCCTCCATTGTATAGAAATACAAAAGCCCTAAGGCAGCTGCTGGGTGCCACCATCTTGGATGTGGCATTAGCAGACTCAGAGCTGTGACTCTCATGTAGCTTCTGGGGAAGAGCAAAGGGGAATGCTACACAGTCTTGTGTATGTAGGTGGGAGCTGGGCCAGTACAGACAGTAATTGGACATTCTCAGAAGAGAAGAGGGCTGTGATGTTTAAGGAGGGAGGGGACACATTGCAAGCAATTAATTTATGAAACGTAAACATACTGCAAGTAAGTATTTAAAATATTTTATTTTTCTGTGCTGTTACCTGCAATTTTTTAAGTTGGTGACAGGGTCTCTTTTAAAAGTATGTCAACTGTCACCAAAACAGAAAGCAAGGAATATTCTCTCCAACAGAACTTCAAACAGCAGCAAAAGCTGACAGGGGTACTAGTCGTTTTTTTTTTTTTTTTTTATTATTATTGCTGTGTCTTCCTGTTCTGGTGACATGTTATCACCGGTACAGGAGATGAGAGGAATTTTTCCCAATAGTGCCAGAGAGCGAAGTTAAAACTGAAAATCCCTGCTTTACCCAAACTAAGCGGTTTGGAGCTGCAGGTTCACTTCAACTCCTGAAGCTGTCTGCACGCTTATATGTGGCAGCGCAGTCATGGGCTTTATGCCTTGCCACCACATATACAGCGGGCATTTCCGTTTTGTGCTGGGCGAGTGCTCAGTCACACCCCCCAGCACTGTGACAGCTCTCCCATTCATGGTTTACGATTGGAAGTGAGTAGGATTGACTTCCAGTCGTGTGATCACATGATTGGAGAGGCCCAAAAAATGCTCCAAAAATGCCCCCTGACATGAAGATCTAACTAAATGGGTGGTAAGAAGCCAATGAAAAGCAACTCGATAAGGCCATACTTGCAGACTAAAGTGGCTTGTTTTGCCATTTGTGTGAATACTGGTTCTTTCCTGAACAATGACTTTCTTCTCCTGGTCTGTGCTGTAGTTCTGTTTCCACTCTTGCAGTTTCTTTTTCTTTCCGGTCTTGGTAAGTAACCCTGACCACCTTCTCTGTCCATTTGAATTTCCCTTCCTTTCTCTTCTACCAACATGCCCCTCGTGCGACGCAGATCGAGGCCTTCCAACATATGCAGAAGTTCGTGAGCAACGTTCAGCTCCAGGCCCAGCACGTCGCCGATGACCCTCCGCACAAACAGGAGCTGCAGAAGCTCATGGCCAGGTAAAGTAACAGTGTGCCCTTTTGGACGCACCCTCTGCATTGCTTCGTCCATGTTCAGGTCTCATACACACTAGGTGTTTTAAAGTTTTTCTGCAATTTTTTTTTTTTGTTAGCGTTTTTGCATTAGTGTTTTTTTTTTTTACATACACAAAAATACAATTTTGTCTCAAAAAATGCTCAAACTCCGTTTTCCCGCGGTTTACCAGTGTTAAAGTGTTTTTACAGCTAAAAATTCCTCTTGAAACCCACTAGTTCTGGGGGTTTTTTTCCAGCCAGAAAATGCCCCTGCCAAAAAAACACTGGTTGTTTTCATGGACACATAGGATAACATGCTGGGGAGTTTACTGGCTGTAGAAAAAAACACCAGAAGCCAAAAACAGCCGCTGTAATAATGCCCAGTGTGCATGAGGCCTTATGTTTACACTCCACAGTTGCTGAATTTGTTTTTGATATGGCACTATGATTTATTGGTCATCCTTTTTATGTTGCATTTCCACCATCCTCTATGTACCAGTTAGTTATAAATCAATAAATCTAAAATTGAAGCCACACATTGTGATGCAAAGTCCAGATACAAAGTATATTCCAAAATAAAGTCAGTTTGAAGACCCAATACCAAACCTATAGGCTTTAGGGGCTGATGCCCCGTTCCCTTCAGGGCTTGAGAGATGACCTATGTATGCAGGCTTGGAAGTAAAGAGATTTAATATATTGACTAATCCCTAATTTGGCACGTTGTCCATTAGCAGTAGGGATGAGCTCTGGCATGTTCAGACATGAGGTCGAACCCGCCTAAGCTATTCTGCTAGAAAATTGTCAAAGTGAACAGCCAATCATAGGCAGCAGAGGCATGCCCCCCCACAGCTGCATGTATACAAGGGGAGTGTATATGTTCGGGTTGGAAGGTCGGAATGCCTCCGCAAGCCTTTTAATTGGATGTACACTTAGACCGTTTCCTGGTGGGATAGCTTAGGTGGGTTTAGTCTGTACCTGCCTGAGCTCTCCTTGACTGTCAGCTGGTTGTAGCACCTGGAGAATATTTGGAAGACTGGCCAATAAAGAAAAAAAAAAACTTTAGTTGTGAAATGCTAATCTGTCACGCATCCAAGTTTTTGGTAATCTGTACTGTTCCTGGGGTCCATAATCTTCAAAAGTGGTGACCTTTTTTCTGTTAGAAGGACCCGATGAAAGTGACCAGTCGTCCCTGTCATGTTTTTATGTACATGCTAACTGGTCCCTTCAGTGCCCCTAGTAACACATCATCATGGCAGCCTGAAATCATCATGTGAGCACTACCCATGGGAAGCACAAGCCACGAGTAAATGGTGGCTGGGTCTACAGAGAGTCTCTGTGCCTCTGTGGCTTTTAAGTTGCTTTAAAAGGAAGCTTGATTTTTGGCCAGTACGGTTTTCTATCTGTCCTCTACTCAGTCCCTGACTTTATGCATCATTTCCTAGGTGTTACCTGAAACTTGGTGAATGGCAGCTCAACTTGCAGGGCGTTAATGAGGTCACAATTCCCAACGTTCTGGAGTATTACAATGCTGCTACAGAGCATGACACCACCTGGTACAAGGTAAGATGGGGCTTTTCAGGCAGAATTTTCTAAAATCTCTTCTGCCAAGGATGTTAACTCTGTCTTCCCCACAGGCTTGGCATGCCTGGGCAGTAATGAACTTCGAGGCCGTGTTGCATTTCAAGCACCAACACCAGCCACGCGAAGAGAAGAAGGTTCGTCACCCAAGCAATGCCAGCGCCAACACTGAGGGCAGCGAGAGTGAAAGTGAAGGCGAGAGCATTGAGAACAGCCCAGTACCATCACCAGTGCAGAAGAAACCATCTGAGGTAATTACATGGAGGACAGAACCCTACGGCACTCAAAGCTCTGAGCTTACAACCAGGGTTGCGACTGAGTAGATATTTCTCAGAGAAAAAACAGCAATGCAGTGTATCCGTACACTGTCATCTAAGGACACAAGGCCATATGTCTACAAGTGTCAGGAATGGGAATCTGTTGCCCACAACCAAGAAGGTCTGTTCTACAAAATGTATGAGGACCATGATTGTTATGGGCGCAACAGGTTTTTTAAAGCAGAACTCCAGGCAAACCGCTGACTACACATACACATAGCATGCATATATGGGAGCTGTTTTTCCTGTTAAGACTTTGTAATTCTTGTCCATCCAGACTTCAGCTTACACAGCCCTGCCAGGTGGATAACAACTCTTTATGTTAAAAGAGAAGTATGGCTTTTTATTTTTTTCCTCCCCCATTATACTTAGGTGGATGCAGCATTGGTCCGACGCTGCACATATTTTTGCCAGCTCTAAGGGTGAGAGCTCAGCGATCACTTGACTGCTGATCACTGAGTTCTCACAGCCTCTCTGAGCAGAGATCCTGCTCCCCCCCCCCGCGCTCACTAGAGCGCTGGGCTGTGGAGCTGGAGGGAGCAGCTGGCTCAGGCTCTCAGCGGCTTGCTGAGAGGCTGAGCCAGGTGCCGCTCCATACTCTGGGTGGGTCCCGACTTTAAAGTCGGAATCTTTCCCCATCCTGGACCAGCTGAATAACGTCATCTGACAGCGGGCTTCAGTCTGTTGTCGGCTGCAAGCTGGTCGCTGGAGTGCAGAATGAACTGCAGTCCTGTGATCAACAGAAGCACACCCAAAAGAGCTTTGGCTGTACTTCTCAGTAGTGTCCCCCCTGCACCCCCTGGCGTCTGTATCCCTCTCTTTTCTCCTTATATTAGCATGTTTCATGCCAGAACATTTGCATGTAGCACCCCAGGCTTGGTGTCCTGCCCTCACTCTCTCAATCTGAATGCTACTGTATAAGGGATTGCAAGAGGCTAAATCCAAGTCAAACTGTTGCATTTACAAAATGTTTTTTTTTTTTTTATTTTGGTTTGTTTTTTTTTTTAAGAATACAGAACTGCAATCATTTTTGTGTCTCACTTGCCTGCAGTCAGCTTTCTCTAAGCAGTCTTGACATTCACTGTGTGGTAAGGGTGCTCTGCAGTTCTGTTCTGTGATCCGTTGGCTTTATTCTTTACACAGGACCTCTCTCACACTCTGCTGCAGTATACAGTCCCAGCTGTGCAAGGATTCTTCCGCTCTATCTCCCTGTCCCGGGGGAACAACCTGCAGGACACACTGAGGTAAGCGTCCCTTTTCTGCCTGATTGACTGAGATGCCGTAGAAGCTGAGCCCTTGGCTCCTCTGCCTGCTCCCTGTTCCATGCACAATTTCCTCTTGGGCACCGAATTGTTTTCCCTGGGAGATCAGCGTTGGGATTTAGGACACAACCATTTCCTGGATAAGACAGAGGATATGAGACATACTGGGAGCCAACTGCACAATCCCGCAGCCAGACTGAGCTTTTGGTTGGATGAATCGGACTCATAGCTCAGAAGGGTTAGTGAAGGCTGTTGCAGAAGTGCCACATTATTAGTGTTGGGAAATTATATGGGACTGGTTTATGGAAAAGGGGGTGGGGGGGTCTGAATGGTGGTTCACCAAGTTAGAAATGGAGATAAGAAAAACTGCAATAAGAAATATTAATACATATATATATATATATATATATATATATATATATATATATATAGTTAGATATATATATTTAGATATGTAGGGTTGGAATCTTCTCTTTCTCCCCTCCATCTTTCTGTAACTGCATAGGTCTTAAAAAAGTAAATATATGTATAATAAAATATTTTTTTTTTTTTTTTTTTTTTACCTATGCAGTTACAGAAAGATGGAGGGGAGAAAGAGAAGATTCCAACCCTACATATCTAACATTGAAATTCATTTATATGTGTTGCTTATTAGAAGATGAAGGGCACTTCTTGGCAAAAGAACCACTCTGCAGTGAATTCCTTGCAGATCTCTTTTCCACATCCCTGAACAAGAGCATCATTGCTTTAAAGTGTTGAGCTCAATAAAGTAAGCCTGCCACTAAGATGACAAAATGCAGGCAGCAACCCCTTGTAAAAAAACAAACGTCAGGGCTCTGTGCTGTAGTCATAGTGCAGCCGTTGGGTGGAACCACAGGGCCCAGCAGGAGATGGGAGTGTCTGATATGATGGCAGAAGTGCTCATATCTCTCAAAGGATGAACATATCACCTTGGTGGAAAGAGGAGTGTTCATTGTTTCTTTTCCAGGTGGTTGCTGATCGCAGTTTGTAATCCTTAAGGCCCCTCCAGCTTATTCTGTTCTGCAAAGCTACGTGAGGATAATTTGATGAGGGTTGTGGCTGTTACTTTTCTATGCCAGAGCAGAGAGCACTGGAATGGAAGATCAAGAAGTTAAAAAAGGGCTTCCTTACTGCAACATACGTTAAAGCTGCACAATGCAATGGCAATAAATGGGCCCTAAAAAAAAGGTTAAAAAAAGATCCAAATCTTAAAAAAAAAAAAAAAAAAAAGTTTGATTGTGCACCAATAGATACTGATGTTTCCTTTCACATACAGAGATGTTTGTTTCTCTTCCCCTGCCACTTATGATGCCATGTTTGTGTGTAGCTAAGCTGGCAGAGAGATCACTCTGAGATTTGCAGATCCCTCTACTAACAGGTGGAAATTTGTCTTTGTGGGGCCAGTTATGAATCAGTTCCATTATGAATCCTTGTCATTGCAGAGTTCTCACTCTTTGGTTTGACTACGGACACTGGCCAGATGTGAATGATGCCCTAGTGGAAGGCATCAAAACCATCCAGATCGACACCTGGCTGCAGGTAATGACGATTCACAGTGGTGATAAATAATGTCGGAGGTCTCACTATGGTTCTGCATCCTCCCAGATTTCATCTCCTTCATTTCTGTTCTGAGATATTTGGACAGAAAAGTCTTCATTGATTAGAACACAGCACACTTATAACAGGCAGGAATGGAATGTGTCTCAAGACCTAAATAATTCTTCCTTCTCCAAGTGCCACTGGAGAACCTAAGCACACTATACTTAAAGGATACGTTCACCTTTACGAGAAAATCTTAAATGCACATATTTTTGCAGAAAAAAAAGTGGAGTTTCAGTGCAGCAAATAGTGTTTTCAGCTTACTAAAGAAGGTTAGGAGCTCATTAGAGGCCAAGAGGTATTTTTCTGTACTTGCATTTCTAAAGGACAAAACATAGGGAAATGTATTAACAAAGATGTACAAATTGAAAAAAAAAAATAAATATATATATAATTATTATACAGGATTTATATAGCGCCAACAGTTTGCTCAGCGCTTTACAATATAACGGGAGACAATATAGCAACAACACAGCTCAATACAAGAGGGATAGGAGGGGGATATATATATATATATATATATATATATATATATATATATATATATACACAAAATATTCCTTGGTTCTCAAATTTATACCCCATGTGGGGTATAAATGTTTTCCTGACATTCTTATACTTTGTAAAATTCTATTTAGTTACAAATGCTCACGGTTTATTTTGTTTGTGCAGGTTATTCCACAGCTCATTGCCAGAATAGACACTCCTAGGCCTCTGGTTGGTCGGCTGATCCACCAGTTGCTAACAGATATTGGAAGATATCATCCACAGGTAAGTTACTGCTACCCTTAAAGTGGTAGTAAACCCTTACATATACCAGTGAAGTGGCCTCAGGTGATAAACAGATACAACTTATGTAGGATGATTTTGTTTTGTCTGTTTATCTTTACTTGTCTTTTCCCCCACATGCATTAAAAGTATAGAATTTACACAGGATCTCTCAGCTTTGAAAAGTAGAAGGCGGGAGCTGGTTACTCAGCGAGGAGAGCTGATTGGAGGGAAGGGACATACCCCCTTTCACACAGGCACAGAGCTGAGGCTGTCAATCACAAGCTGTGCCCTCCTTTGTCACCTTTTTTCTTTTGGTGTCAGGAAAACTTGTCAGAAGTTTTCTAAACTCTGAAAAAAAAATGTAATATTGCAGCTTACCATTCCTTAGATATGGTGACTTTTAGTATTTTATTTATCTGTCTTGCGGGGGGCAATGCCTAGTCACTTTACTGTATCTATGTACCTGCAGCATTGTCACCCTAGAACAGGATTTTTGTTAGGTCTATGGAACGCCTCCTCATATGACCTCCATATCCTAAAGGAGATGTGTTCTGTAGTTTAGAGGTGAACTGGAAGGGTTGATTACACTGCTTGGGATAACCGTGCTGAGTGTACAGGACAGCACTGGATCTCTGCCAAGACGAAAAGGTATTTTTTGCACTTATCAAACATATATAATGCTTGGAAAGGTATATTTAACTGACCAAAAATGAGACGACAAGAGTAGTTTATTTTCAGGGTTTACACGCACTTTTTAAATGACCAAATGCGTGCCTATAATATCAATATGTCGGTCACTGTCAGTTTAAGACCAGATGAGCAGATTGAAATCCACTTTGCTTGATGCCGGTGGCAGGGACTCAGCCGTGGAATTTACAAGGAAACTAGATCTTCTCCTCCCAGAACAGCACATGCTGCAGGAATGAAGTGTTTGTAGCTGTAGGAATCAGCATAATGCGAACAGCAATCAGACAGATAAGGAGCCTCTGTTTTATTTTATGAACCTTTACTTGGAAATTCTATTGCCGTCTGTCAGTGTTGGAACAGAGAAGTAAAACAAAGCACAATGAACAATGCAGCTGAACGCTCCTCGCCAGTCCAAGGAGATGGATGTTGATACGGCGTTACATAAACTTCCAGTCAATCTCGGTATTTTAGCAATAAGTTTGGTATTTGGTCGTGTGCCTGCTCACAATTCACCTTTTGGCTGTTACCACCTTGGCTATCTCTGGCCAATTAAAAGCAGGCCTTGCATAATTATATAGCCAGTAGTGATAGGATTTCAAACACCATCTTACTTTAATAAACTCCATCATGGGATTTAAAGGTTTTTTTTTTTTTTTTTTTCTTTTGAGGATTTGTTACGTGGCACTTCCCATTAATTGCGCTTCAGTGTTAGTCTTTGTCCTGTGCTGCCATAATGAAGGAACATCATATAGATGCACTGAGCAAACATGGCTCTCCTGACATGTATATTGACTTTCCCAGTATCCAGCATTACCTCTTCGATCACTATACATCTCCCAAGCATTCAACATATCAAGCATTTGTTTCCTTCCCACAGTCCATGCTGTATTGTCATAACCACCTCCTTCACTACATTCGTGCAAACAGCTCCTTTTCTCCACAAATGTCCCCTTCTGATGGCTCTGTCCTCACAACCCCCTCACCCCGCCTGCACACTCTACTGTGATGCTCAGCTCTACTCCAAAAGTGTCTCCCCTTGTGCCTCTACCCCTGCCGCCTGCTTGCTGCACTCCACAAATGTCCTCCCTGCTGTCCCTTTCCTCCACTCCTCCTTTCCCGCATGCACCCTGCACTCAGCTCTGACAATCAACTGCACTGTGCTCCACAACTGTCTCCTCTGCCACCTCCATGCTACGCTGTCCTTTGCCATTTGGCTGTATCCTACTTGTGTCCCCTCTGCTGACTTGAATATAACAAAACACCCCTTGCCTTATATTATGGAGCTGAAGAAAGGGGGGTGGGGGTGTTCTGTAGTCCAGCAGGGGAGAACTCCTGCAAAGCTGGTGACACTGCTTGGAATTGTAGCATAGCACAAGCACTGCATTGTCAGGAGTAAGGAGCTCTTTGAGTTTCCGGAAGATCAGCAGTCTTGTTTTGTTTTTTCACTGTGCAGGCAGCATTTTTAACCACTTCCAGTCCGGACACTTTTACCCCCTTCCTGTCCAGGCCAATTTTCAGCTTTCAGCACTATCACACTTTGACAACTGTGCGGTCATGCAACACTGTACCCATGTGAATTTTTTAGCATTTTTTTGTGACAGATAAAACTTTATTTTGGTGGTATTTATTCACCACTCACTATGATTTTTATTTTTTTGCTATATAAAGGAAAAAGTCCCAAAATTTGGAAAGTGTTTTTCTTATAATTTTGCAAAAAAAATATTTCTTCATAAATCGTGGCCAAAAATGTATTCAGTTATCTTTTTAGTCAGAAAAGAAATTACCTAAATTAGTTTATAACCAAAAATGATAATTTTTCAAAACATTTTTACAATTTTATTTTGTGGTTTGTTTTTTTTTTTTTGTTTTTTTTTTTTTTTTTTTTTTTTTTTTTACATAATGTTACCCTAGCAGTACAGTGTCACCATAGTGACACTGTACTACTTGTGGGGGGGTGATGCTTAAAGGCTTTAAAAGCAATCATTTCTCTTTGGCTGCATTCTTGCAGCCATTGAGAAATACTGTGTGAGCTGTGATTGGTCACAGCTTGTCACATGGTACGAGGCTGTTGGGAATAGCCTTGTACCATGTGATCTCTGCTTACTACTTGTGAAATCTGGGAATGATCACAATGATGTCAGGAAGTGACTTCTTGCTTACTACTCTTCATGTGATCACAGATTGGCCAATCAGTGATCACATGATCGGGATCTCACACAGAGATCCTGTACAACAATCGGTGTTCTGTGTCCGGAGGACACAGCGGGCACCGGATTGCGGTGCTGTGCGCTCCCTGGACTGCTCCCGTCCGGCCCATGTGTATATATACGGCTGGACGGGAGCAGTCCAGGGAGCGCACAGCAGGTGGTTAAAGAGCCAAAACCTGAAGGAATAGGTATGCTTAGCAGAGATATACGAACTGTGTTTTTTTTTTTTTTTTTTTTTTTTCTTTTTCTTTTTTTTTTTCCTTTTTAAGCAAGCCTCTGGTCTGATAATACTTGACACTTGGGCCTTTGTGGCTGTGTCTGGTGTTGATTTTTACCGGAGTTGTGCATGTACATACCTGTACCTGTGATGATGATAATTTTATGGAAGTTTATGGGCTCACGTTCAAACCTTAAAGAATGCTAAAAGAGCGCTGATTCTTCAGGTTTCGTAGGCGATATCATGACGGTCAACAATCATGTGTACTAATTACATTTCCTAAACTATGTGCAGTCTGGCTAGTTGGTATGGGTCCATAAGGATTTCACAGATTTTGTAGCTGGTTTCTCTCAATTTGTAATCGGCTATCTTCAAAATATATATGCAGCCTTCAGGTTTTTAAACGTAGCTTGTTCAATTTTCAGACACATCTGCTTCTCCCTTGCTGTGTGAGTAATGGTTGTTTTGTTCTCATTATTGGTATGGGATGACCTTCTGTTTTAGGTTTTGTGTTTATGTCCGGGACTATTTAACTGTCCCCATGGATCCTCATTATAATCATGGATAAGAATTCCCTTCCTATGAAGGCAAGGCCTGCTGGTAAAGGATCAGGACTGCACGCGTGACCTTTTCCCAGCGTGGTGGAATTAGCACACATGTGGGCGGATCATCTGTGTTTTTTAACTTTTATTTGTTGTGCCTTTCTTTCCCCCAGGCTCTCATCTATCCACTCACTGTGGCCTCCAAGTCAACAACTACAGCACGCCACAACGCAGCCAATAAGATCCTGAAGAACATGTGTGAGCACAGCAATACGCTAGTACAGCAGGCCATGATGGTATGTCCCAATGCCAAATGGTCATCTTGAAAAGTTTGCTTTTCTTTTAATCTAATCTTTTTCCCTTCTTGCAGAACATGACATCACTTCATATGTAACTCGTATAGATAATTCCTTGACTGCTTTTGCCCCTTTCTGGGTTGTGATTGATTTAGAAAATCACACTAAATCCATCCCTTGCTGTATAGCAAAACAGGACTGTTCACTGCAGCAGCCACATACCCTGTATAATCGTTTAGATAAGGTCTCCTGCTTTTATTTCCACACTGCTGTTTTGTTTTCTCCTTACTGTCGTTAGCTGCAGATTAGAGTTGTGGGGTGCCCCTCTAACGTCCCACAATGCAATGCCTCTTTTAGACCCACCACGCATTGCAGAATTGTGACTCACGTCCGATTAACCATGATTAGTGTGCCCAAATGTAGAGCTTCCAGCAAGAGTTGACAAAAGGTTACTTTGGCAGAGCTTTGTCCTTGGCTTGATTGCTTCATTATGCTGGTTAAACTTGGAAAAATAACTATAGTCAGCCTCATCCCTCCTTTGAGATTTAATCACTTACGAGCATATTTTTGCCAAATGTCAGAAAACTTAAGGTGGTTGTAAAGGCTCAAGGTTTTAACCTTCAAACATTCTATGCATGAAGGCAAAATACCTGTGTGCAGCAGTGCTCCCAGCACCCTCCAAAACTTACCTGAACCCCATCCCGATCAAGCGATGTGCACGAGAGCCTCTGCGTTCATGAGTTTCTCCCTCCTCATTTGGCTGAGACAGCATTAGTAGCCATTGGCTCCTGCTACTATCAATCACAGTCAGTGAGCCAATGAGGTGATAAAAGGTGCGGGGCCTGTGAATGAGCACACTAAGCAGTGGCTCTGGAGTGAGCCTGCTCTAGTTCCCCCTTAGCAAGCTGCTTGCTCTGGGGGCACCTGACAGGAGGGAGGGCCCTTGAGTGCCAGCGGGGAACCAGAGAAGAGGAGAATCTGGGGCTTCTCTGTGCAAAACCATTGCATAACATATAACATAGGTGTTATTAAAGGATTTTTTTTTTTTTTTTTTTTTTTATATCCCTTTAATACAATATGTGCATGTTTGCGCCAGATGAATACTTCTGGACATAGTGAAGTAGGAATAACAATGAGAGTCCTGGAGCTTGCACGGTCAGCAGTATTGGCTCCCCTTTGTATCCTCTTGCACTTTTAAAGTCGCACACCCTGAAAAACACATTAAACTTGTAAAGGTGGTCATCAATATCCATTTGTAAGAACCTCCTGCTCTTTAATAAAACTATTGGACTTCTGAATTCAATTTTATGGACCTACTTTTTGATTTAATCCTGGTTCCAGAGGGACCAGGCAAGTTCCAGGAGCTATCTTGAATGATTTAGATCAGTGTTTCTCAACCCTTCTTTGCTCAAGGCACCCTTTAAAATTATCTTGAGGAACCCCATTCTAATTTTACATAACGCAGCAACGTACACGCACATTGGACACCAAACATAAAAGGCGACTTTTAGTCTTCCAAAGCAAATAGACCTTTGCATATTGGTACTGTCTAGTATTCCAATGTTTCCCTCAGTTTCCCTCCCTCACCCAGGCAATGTGACCTCAGTGCTGATGGAGAGGGGGGAAACTGTGCAGACACCCGATGTCCTCCTTAGCAATCAATGACGTCACTGGTTTGTAGGACACTGGTGGCTGGAAGGTTGTAATGGTGCACAATCAAAACCTGTGGCTTTGTGTAAATAAAGGGCAGGCTTCATCCATCCACTGGCTTCTATGCAATTTTTGGGAAAGTTCTGGGCTTTTTGCCAAAGCGCCCCTGAAGAAACCAGAAGGCACCCTGGTTAAAAAAAGGCTGATTTAGATAGCTGTACCACCCTACATAGGCTGGAGGTTAGAGATGTAACTAGGAAATCTGCAAAGATGGAATAATTGTGTCATCCTCCTGGCTATTCAGTGTTGCAGGAGGGTGTAAATCACAAGGGTAACAGAGGAGAAGAGCAAATTTATCAGTAAAATTTTTTACATTTATTAACTTCAGCAGCTGTGTGTTTATCTGTCTTCAAGAAACTTTGCTCTGTTTTATTTTTTATGGTGTACAAGTGCCAGTCTCATTATTCTGTTGCTCCTCTTGTAATGCTAGGTAAGCGAGGAGTTGATCCGTGTGGCCATTCTCTGGCATGAGATGTGGCATGAAGGCTTGGAGGAGGCATCACGCTTGTACTTTGGTGAGAGGAACGTGAAGGGGATGTTTGCAGTGCTTGACCCTCTTCATGCCATGATGGAAAGGGGACCTCAGACCCTGAAGGAGACATCTTTCAATCAGGTGTGCATTTTTTTCATGACTGTTACAACATGGATGGGAACTAAACATCAGTTAACACTCCAGGCAGAACAGTTGCATTCCATTCTATTCATTAGCTATAATGTGTGCATTCATCTGTAATCCTTTTTTAAATGTCCATCATTCCCTAAATACCACCTGAAATTTTAAATTAGACTGACAATAAGACAGCCCTCAGTGGCTGATAAAGATTAGAAGAAAACAATAGACTGACAATCATACCAGCAGCTGATGCCATATCATGTTTCATGTTTTTGGTATTGTGCAGGTTTCGGCATAGTCCTTTCAAACTGTGTAGTTTAAACTCCCCTGAGGAATAATTGTAGCCTTTAAAAGGCAGTTTGACACTGAAAGGTAAAGCAGACACTGTTGGAGTTACCAGCACTGAAGTGGGAAAACCATAACCAATATTATTATTATTTATTATACAGGATTTATATGGCGCCAACAGTTTGCTCAGCTCTTTACAATATAATGGGAGACAATACAGTTCAATACAAGAGGGATAGGAGGGCCTGATCCTGGGAGCTTACAATCTAGGAGGGAGGGGCTAGTGGTACAAAAGGTAGTAACTGTGGGGGATGGACTGGTTGGAAGAGTAGAAGATTCCATTATTAGCTGAGGGCAGGATAGGCTTCCCTGAAGAGAGAGGTTTTCACAGATCGCCTAAAAGTGAGCAGAGTAGGCGATAGTCTGATAAATTGGGGTAGAGAGTTCCAGAGGATGGGGGAAGCTCTGGAGAAGTCCTGGAGATGAGCATGGGAGGAGGAGACAAGGAAGCTAGAGAGTAGGAGGTCTTGCGAGGAGCGGAGAGGATGGTTTGGGTGATATTTAGAGACAAGATCGTTGATGTAATTTGGGGCAGAGTTATAAATGGCTTTATATGTTATTAATGTTTTTGAATTTTATCTGTTGGGCAATGGGAAGCCAGTGGAGGGATTGGCAGAGAGGGGTGGAGGACATTGAGTGGAGGCCAGTGGAGGGATTGGCAGAGAGGGGTGGAGGACACGGAGTGTAGGTCAGTGGAGGGATTGGCAGAGAGGGGTGGCAGATACAGAATGGTTAGTAAGGTGGATGAGTCTGGCAGCAGCATTCATGATAGACTGAAGAGGGGATAGCCTGCGATGAGGTAGGCCAATGAGGAGGGAGTTACAATAGTCAAGGTGAGCTATAACCAGGGAGGGAATAAGTTGCTTAGTGGTTTCTGAGGTTAGGAACGGGCGTATCTTGGAGATAGAAGTAGGCAATTAATTTTACGGGAGGAATTTCCTGTGTGGCCATAGGTCCTCAATAATACCAGTTGTATGCCTAATAAAGAGAGTTTTCATTATTTGGATTACTTGCACTGTAAACTGTTGGACATCTTCCATATGTGTGTTCTCAATTCTCCCCCTGCCATTATCACATGACTACTATTCTTTCCTGCTCCGAAGGCCTATGGGAGAGATCTGATGGAAGCTCAGGATTGGTGTCGAAAGTACATGAAATCTGGAAATGTGAAAGATCTGACCCAGGCCTGGGATCTGTACTACCACGTCTTCAGAAGGATCTCCAAGCAGCTACCACAGGTAGATGTATTGGATGTTGTCATTACTTTGACATGGATGTGGTTTGTTTATTTGGTATTATATAGGGTTTTGTATTCCAGCTAACGTCCCTGGAGCTTCAGTATGTTTCGCCAAAGCTTCTCATGTGCCGAGATCTGGAGCTGGCTGTGCCGGGAACGTATGACCCCAATCAACCAATAATACGAATCCAGTCTATAGCGCCTTCTCTACAAGTCATCACCTCCAAGCAGAGGCCAAGGAAACTAACACTAATGGGTTTGTGTTCTTTTTTTACTTACTGATAATATCTTTTACATATACTGTATGTATTATACATGCTCTTATAAGGGGCCAGTATTTATAACAATTTATCTCTCTCTGTGATGCAGAGACATTGGTTTGTGTTCATTGCACACCCACCACAACTGCTACGTGTAGGTTGCAGACTTTCTGCTGCATGTTTAGTTTTATAGTTTGTGGATTGCAGAACAAAAAAACCTGACAAAATTGGTCAGCAGCTATAGGCAGTCTGCTGCCTCAAATGTCACTTTTGGGTAAACCCAAAGGCATAGTTTGTAGGTACTGGATCCACCGTCATTTCAATTAGACATTATAAAGTGTAGATTGTACTGTAGAGCGTGTTAGCTCTGGTTAGGTGCTTCTTGACCACAAACGTTGGGTTAAAAACATCCTGTGTAAAATTCAAGGCTTTAAAAGGAATATGAGTGCCAAACCTATGGTTTTAGAGCCCAGAACAATTTGTTTCATCTTAGAAATCCAAGATAAATGGCTAATACTTTTATGTAGTTTGTACAGCCCCCTTTCATCAGGGCTGCACAAGCTGTTTGAGAATAAAAAAAAAAAAAAGCTGGGTTTTAAGGGGTCTAGGTGTGGGGGTAAAAATGCCCCTTCTTTTGAAACAGGCTTCAACAACTGGTCAAAACTTCTATTAATGTAGGCTTCATGCACAAAGGATATTTTTGCTGCTGCTTCTGCTTCTTGGGGCGTCAGGCTTTTTGTTTTTTTTTTCCTGCCTCTTCACTTCCCTGCATGTTAGCCTGTGTCCGTGTTCATGTAAACTTTTAGCAGCTTTTTGAGGCAGGAGAGTTTAGAGACAGAAAAAGTGTGTCCAGGAGCAGCAGAGCTTGGGCATAAAAAAAAACGCTTGTAAACACGTGTTAATGCTAAGCTCGTTTAGTGCTTCAGTGTTCATTTCAATGGCCAGACTAAGTGATTTATATGGCCATTGAAATTAATTAACTCCAAAGTGCTTGACACCTCTAAACGCTCGTAAAAAACGTTAGACACTTTTATAAGCATCAGTTGTTTTTCTTCTGCAAAACGCTGCTGGCTTCTAGGAGAATTAAAAAAAAAAAAAAAAAAAAAAAAAAAGTCCCGTGTGCTTGAGGCCCAAATTTTCAGATGCCTGCTCCACTTACCTTGCATCTTCATTGTATCCCTGCAGGAAGCAATGGCAATGAATTCATGTTCCTGCTGAAGGGGCACGAGGACTTGCGCCAGGATGAGAGAGTCATGCAACTGTTTGGTCTGGTGAACACACTGTTGGCAAATGATCCGGCATCTCTGCGGAAAAACCTCAGGTACTGTCCCTTGGCCTTTCCAGCATTAGGCGGGCTACTTTAGTTGATGAGAAACTGCATGCAGGTGATACTGTTTTGGTGTGTCCCAACAGCATCCAGAGATATGCAGTCATTCCTCTGTCCACAAACTCAGGCCTGATTGGTTGGGTTCCGCACTGCGACACCCTGCATGCTCTGATCCGGGACTATCGAGAGAAGAAAAAGATACTGTTGAACATAGAACACCGCATCATGCTGAGGGTAATCCAGAGATCTCCATAGGTGGATCATTATGTACGTCATAACAGACAGGGCGCTAACCATGCTTTCTTCTCACAGATGGCACCGGATTACGACCATCTGACCCTCATGCAAAAAGTGGAGGTGTTTGAACATGCTGTGAATAACACTGCCGGGGATGATCTTGCCAAGCTTCTCTGGTTAAAAAGCCCCAGCTCAGAGGTAAGAATGCAGCGCCATAACGTTGATGATTTTTGCTCAAAAAGAACCTAAAAACTGATTTGGGGGATGCGGCTATCTTTTGAGCAGTTATTCACCTGGCTTCACTGCTGGTAAAATAGACTTGCCAGTATTCATAAAAAATGCCTCAATCTTGGCATGCAAAAGTGCAGACCAAGTGTTCCCAGGTTCTAAGCTCCACCCTCTGTAGTTCCTGTACTGCAAATACTGGGCAATTTGAAAAGAGATTGCAGTCCCATGCAGAAACACTGCGAAAGCCTGATGTGTGCAAGGTGTCTCATATTAAACCCAAATTAAGTTTCAATTATAAGAACATTTTTTAATTTTAGCACAGATGAACTGTTTGCTTGATTGCATTAAAAGCCAATTGATTGATTTTACTTGCTGACCATTTCTGGTCTTAAGACGAAACTTCAGTCTGAACTCAAAGCTGTGTGTACTGTGTGGTGACAGAGCTGCTTAGATGTCTAAATATAGAAGAATGAAAATTCCATCCCAGTTCTATAGAATGATCAGGTGTTCGTGTAAAGCTAAACATACTAAAAGACATTCTGAATTTTGTTCCGTGTGTTTGGTCCCCCAAGTTCCCCCCCGGTCAACTTCTGCCGAAGGGACGTGTTGGAAAGTTTCCCGTTGATCAGGGACTGCAGCCATTACTGCAGTTAATGCAGGACATCTGACCTGCATTTCTGTTCAAGATCAGGGAACTGGATCAATGTGTTAGTCTCCATTTTTAGAGGGCAGTCAGCAGTGGCAGTTTACACATTTCTCTCATGACAATTTTCCGTTACGACATAGAGGGTCTTGTTTGTCTGTTGAAATTGGAAGGTAACTGAAAAGACACCGGTCATTTTCTATAAATTGTGATAAAATGATTATAAAGGCCCCCGTGCAGGATTCCCAGATGTATGTTCATATTTCACTTTATCTTTCAGGTCTGGTTTGACAGAAGAACTAATTACACCCGCTCTTTGGCAGTGATGTCCATGGTGGGGTACATCCTTGGGCTGGGTGACAGGTAGGTGGTCCAGGTGGAAGCTGTGCTATTACAGTGGTTACTTCATGAGAGGAAGGGGTGGGATGATCACTTGTCTCCATCAAAAGCCTAGGTGACAACACAGAAGCACAATTGAGACACAGGATTACAGCATTGTTTCCATGTAACAGGAAGTACATATGCAAACTGCAGCTAAAGATATTAAACTTGACATTTAATATTACGTTTGCTTGTTAAATCCTATGTGCTGTTTTATATACTTGAGAATTAGAGTTCTGTTTTGAAGAACTATATTCTTGGGTAGAAGTATCTCGACATCATCTGGTTGGTCAGCACTTCATATTGTCCTGCCTTTGCTGCTGTGACCGCTTCTTCCTTCCTGGGGGGAAGGCTTTATTAGGTGCTGGAACTTTTGGGGGGAATTTTTCAGTCATCAAAGCAACAGTGCAGTTGTCACTGAGGCTGGGCAGTGTTGGCAGGCTTGCTGTCAGCTTTTTAATTAACGTTCAGGGGACTATACAGTTCAGTTGTGCCATCCTTTTCAAGGTCAGATCCAGCAGTGCAGAAATTTGACATACTGGCTTGTGGGTACTCTTGACGTTCTATCATAGTGTGTCGCTGTACGCCACCGAGCTTTTTCAACTGATGGTGATTGAATGGCTGTTTTGCTGCATGATACAACAGCCCCTGAAGTGTTAATGGGCACTTCTGGTTTGTCAGTAGACCGTGTGTTGTAGTTCTACCTACCGGCCGCTGTCGGTGTAGGGCATGGTATTGAAATTGTTACACACCCAAAGTGTTGGATGTTAAAGCCAACCAGTGTTGCTCTGCAAGTGAGCGAAGATTGGAGGCAGTGGGATGGATAAATGCTATTAATCCGCTTTGTGTGTGTTTTTTTTTTTTTTCTATTATTATTATTATTATTATAAAGGGTCTCTGAAAAGTTCTGGTCATGTATGTAGTGGGAATGCTTAGAGTTAGGAAAGCTGGGGGTGGGCACTGGGTGATGGCTCTTAATTGCTGCTTTCTTAAATGCTGCCCTCTCTTCTTACAGACATCCTTCCAACTTGATGCTGGACCGGCTCAGCGGGAAAATTCTACATATTGATTTTGGGGACTGTTTCGAGGTGATCACCTACCTGTTTTAGTAGATCAATCTCTCTTTTTCCGTTCCCTTTGAATAACACTTTGTATAATGGTGACAGGGTTAAAGTGGTAGTAAAACCGCCACAAAAATTAAAATAAAAAAAATCTGGTCCTTGCAGGTTTAAGTCATAATGTACTAGTGTGCACATTATGGCACTTACCTGGACATGGAGCCCTCCAGTGCAGTGCTGTCATGGCTCCTGGGCATATCTACCTTCACCTGGTCTTCCTTCCGGGTTCACGGACTCCCATCTGTATGAATAGCCAGGGTCGCAATGAAGTCACTCCCTCGCATGTGTGGCAGCCCCGTCCCAGCACAGAGCTTTGAAGGTATGGCACGGGTATGCCATCCCTTCAGAGTGCATGCACCGGTCATGTCACAGACTGCATTCTATGTGAATATCTTCTAAACAGTGCAAGCTTAGGGGATTTTCACTTTACCTACAGGTAAGCCATATTATATGCATACCTGTAGGTACTTGTAAAGTGGACTTTACTTTCATGTTAAATGTAATTAATGAGTATATTTCATTATGAGGCCCCCACCTCTATATTGTATATGCATCACTAAGCATTCAGTGACATCACTGCCCTGTCCATTGCAGGCAATCAAGGAACGGGTTTGTTGTGCAGTGATGTAAGTCAATTATTGAAGAAATACATAAGCATCCAGGAATGGAGCCCTTTTAGTTTCTTGATTGCCTCTTCTTGGACAAAGTATTGTCCTAAATCTGATTAGGACTTTAAATACAATTTTACAATATTAATGTCAGCAGAATAATCGAGGGAACAAGACATTTAACATGAAGCAGATGGTTGGCAGAGAAAAGGAGTGGAGAGCACACTGATGTGACCCAACAGACGCAGATAGCTATTAAATAGATGTAAGGAACACGGATTTAGAATTTTCCAAACAGCACTAAAGACGACCTTCTCTACTATGTGTGCTTCCATTATGCTGCCTGACCTCACTAATCCAGACAACCGTTTTCTTCATGTTGGTCATGTCAACTAGACAAAAGTAAGTAGTCAGGTTTCAGGCCTAAATTAATCAAAAAGCTCTGTTCTAGATATACTGTAAGATACAACATTGTCTTGTTGCTTTGCAATGCAAGATATGGTGTCCTTACCTTGCACTGATAAAGGCCAACATGCCTGGAACATTGGTATGCAAGTTGGGATACTTTCCTGCTATGCATTCCCTACGTGGATAACTATCAGGCAAAAAAGTCGGGGGCAATCCATACATGAAGCGATTATCAACAGGAAGGCTTTAATTTATCCATCTCTGCAATTAATTTGAATATGTATGGCCACCTTGAAGAGATTTGGCAGGACAGAGTTAAATTCCTGCTCTCTCCGGTCTCCCTGTAGAGGTCCAGTACACCCACTGCTGAGTCAGAGCTCACCAATCAGCAGAGACCATGAGTTTTGGTGAATGGATTAGCTTTGACTCTGCAAAAGGCATAATGGACCTTTGCGGAGAGACAACTGCTTCCAAGCAGAGTAAGGGTCCTTCTCTGCAGTGTGCTGGCAGGTGATTGATTGGTTTTTTTTTTCTACTCAGGATGTGGTTGTTTACAAAAGAACACAAACTTTTAAACGTTACTCACCATTTGTTTTAATGTACCTGCAATGTCTATCAGATTTAAATTGAAAGTTCTGCTGGCCTTTATGCATTTACAGAGAGGGCTGTTAAATGACATACAGTCCTTAGTTCATTATATTTGTGGTCAGAACTGTTGATTTAGAACAGCCTTAGAAGTGTCTAATGCCCCCCCCCCCCCCCCTCCAATAGTTAACCTGAAACTGCATCGGTGTGGAAAGTGTAATTCTTTGTGTATTTTTGTCCAGTTTATAAAATTTGAGGCATGTAACCCTCCCCCTCTACTGTTATGGTTTTCCTGGAGTTGGCCTTTAAGCTTCCAACATCCAAAATGTTTTCATGCACATAGAGATCTTAAATGTAATCGTTCTTATTTCAGGTGGCCATGACCAGAGAGAAGTTCCCAGAGAAAATCCCATTCCGACTAACGAGAATGTTGACCAATGCTATGGAGGTAAGGAGCATTCTGTTGACGAGTGCAGTTATTAACCACCTCCTGGCTGGGCTATTTATGGCACTTTGTTCACATGTAACAATCAGTACTTTTTGCTAGAAAATACTTGGCACCCCCCCAAACTATATATATATATATATATATATATATATATATATATATATATATATATATATATATATTTATATTTCTCAGAGGCCCTAGAGAATAATTTGGTGGGTTTTGCAATTTTTTTTTTTTTTTTTTATGCCATGGTATTTGCGCAGTGGTTTTTCAAAGGCAATTTTTTGGGGGGAAAAACGTTTTTGAATTTGAATGCAAAAAAAAAAACAATACATAACCCATTTTTTGTAAAATAGAAAAGATGTTACACTGAGCAAATAGATACCAAGCATGTCATGCTTTAAAATTGCGCACACCTGTACAGCAGTGACAATGATGTGAATTTTACTATCCATAGGCAACACTTCAAAAGCATTTACAGGTTACTACTTTAGATTTGGAGGAGGTCTGGTGCTAGAATTGTTGCCTGTGATCTGACGATTGTGGCGATACTTCACATGTGTAGGTTGATCGCTGTTTGGGTGCGTGCAAGACCAACATTCACATGAGGCCGGGGGCAGTTTACTTTTTTTCTTTTTAATAATTTACTTTTTACACTTTTGATTTTTTTTTGTTTTTGAATCTCTTTTATTGCTGTCACATGGAATGTAAACATCCCTTGTGACAGCAATAGACAAGTGACAGGTACTCTTATAAGACCCCAAATCCCTTCTCTGTGCCTAAACGTACTCTAAATGCCAAGATCGATATTTTTAAATGCTTTTTATTATTTTTTTTAAATGGTGCAATTTACTTTCGAGTGAACCGGAAGGGATGTCAGATCGTTTACTATAACGGCGAGGCGATGCGCCAGCTGGTCGCTCTGGTCTCCCTGTGGGATGAGACAGCCTGAGCAAGCCACGGGAGGGTGGGACGTCCCCTCCTGTTGATTGTAATAGCAATCGAGCGGCTAGACAGCCGCTCCGATTGCTATTACAAGAAAGCCAGCTCAAAAAAGGAAAAAAAAAAAAAATACCAGAGTGATGCCTGCAGCTTCAGGCATCATCCCGGTATAAGCACCAAAGGTCCAGCAACATACGGGTTCATCGCTGGACGGGAAGTAGTTAAAAGCTAAGTGCACAACTGGTAAAAAAATGCACGTGATTTTGCAGGTTACGTTTTGTTTTTTTCTTTACACTGCAGCCTGCAAAGCAATGCACCCTTTATCAGTGGATCGTGGGTGCAATGCCGGACTCCTGCAGATAAGTGCAACTTTCTGCCCATACCTTCTTAAGTGCAAGAAGCATCCATGAACTAGCACAGTTGCTTATCAGTGCCCTGGTAGTTCATTGAGGTAGCAGACAAAACTTGTAGTTCACTCACAGAACTATGTAAATGAATGATGTAGTGATGTGGACGGAGGCCCACACAGCTGTCCTATTTTTAAAAAGTGGCACAGGTACAGGCAAAAGATCCCTGCCCGCTGTCATGGAAAGGGGGGGCGGGGGGGGGGGGGGGTGGGACTACTCCAAAGTAACATTTTACACCCTAAATACTGGTGTAACATGTTACCAAAGGCATACATATCCTTTTAATGCCCGCTTTTATATGTTTGTTACTGTTCTTGATCTACAGGTAACTGGTCTGGATGGTAACTACCGCATCACCTGCCATACAGTAATGGAGGTCCTACGGGAACACAAAGACAGTGTCATGGCAGTTCTGGAGGCCTTCGTGTATGATCCTCTCCTCAACTGGAGACTCATGGATAGTGAGTATCATTGGGGTGGGGAACTATATCACATCTTCCTGAAAAGTTTCTGAAGATTCTTATATTCTGCTATTTGACATACTGAGTTATTGCCAATACTTGCACCTGTGTTAGATTAATAGTCTGTATCAGACTAGTACTGAAATATAAGCCAGTGTTCCTGTAATCTTCTGCCGCTGCTCTGACTATACTGGTTCCTATAGGGGTGTTAAGCTGCACGAAACCATGCTCACATAATTTCTAAGTCACATGCTTCCTTATATCAGCCAGCGTTTACAAAGTTCTCCTTGGTAAATGTCATTTACTCTCTGGGCCCTTGAAATATGCAAATTCTGACTCTCATGTTGGATGCAGTGCAGACCCAAGGCTGCAGTGCCGCTGGAAGGTCAGGATTTCCACACTGTAGGAGCTCTAAGGTTCTGCAATATTGTGACGTGGACCTTGCATCTAGGAGGTATCTTACCTATGCTGCTATTTTCCTCTGATTAAACGCACTTACAAGCCTAGTGAATCCAGCGTCATCCTCTTCTCACCTGCTGCTCTTTAAGTGCAGGTTCCATCTCAAACGTCATCTCCATCAGGAGCTGTAGTCCTCTTGTGAATTAGGGAGTCGTTCCTCCTCCTGATGCAGCGCCAGATCTGGCACAGCGTTTTTTATGGGAGAAGGTATCACGGGATTCAGGGTGTGGAAGCTAATGCCTCCTGGGATATGAGACATGGATATTCCAGGGGGCTCCAAGAGGACAGCGTGTACATGTCGCCTTCACCTGTAAGGAAGTTGGGGGGCTGCAACACTAAAAAAGAATATAAGGTGCTCCTTACTCATAAATGATACAATTAGTCTGTGTTTTTGTAAGGGAGAAGAAGGTCAACTATATATTTTGCTGTCATCTATAGACACCTGGCAGCGCCTGCTTAGTTTACAAGTATTTGTAGGACGACAGGTTAGCTTTAAAAGTGTTTTTCCTACTTTTAATATTCCATCTGTCAGTTTTTCACCACTCTACTGTGATGCATTTTTACAGCCAACATAAAAGGCAACAAGCGCTCCCGTACGCGGACAGATTCCTATTCTGCCGGGCAGTCTGTAGGTAAGTCCAGTCTGGTTGTTGGTTGATCTCAGCCTTCTGGTACTACTTGCCCCCTGGCAGCGGCACTTGTTTGCTGAATGTGTTTGCACTGTGCCAGCTCATATCCTGTTGTGTATGCCTATAGTCTGTACCCCTTAAAGATTTTTTTTGTTTTAATATATAACTATATGTTCAATATAACATTGTAGATTGAAGTGGTTGTAAAACTCAAACATGAAAAATGCACAAAGCATATTCTTCTTTGCCTTAATCCAAAGCACAGTGTGTCATTCCTCTCTGTTGTTTCCTTCCTCTGTCTGCATGCACACCAGACCATCTTGGGTGACTGCCCCACCCACCTCTGCACACAGCAGGTGACTGACGGTCCCAGCTGTCCATTCTTCCCAATGAGTCAGTGTAAACGGGGGCTGTCCATTCCCTCCACTCAGGTTTCAGGTCACACTGAGCTCTGAGGGGGCTTTACACTGTGCAGTGGGTGATGTCAGATCACAGCCCCCTGCTTTCTGGACCAAAGCATTGCACCCATGATCGGTGGATTGCTAGTGCGATGCCATGCTCCTGCAAACTCTTCCTCCAGCTCGCTGCCAGTACCTCTGTATGGACTTTCAGCTGGAGAGCTGAAGGAAATGTGAAAGGAATACAAGTGCACTTTTTACCGCACTTGTAGTCCACTGAGAACTACAAGTTATTCTACTGCGGTGGCAGATGTGACCTGTAGTTCATTCACAGATTTCTGTATATGAATGACACAGCTGTGCGGCAGAGTTCCACACAGCTATGGCAGATTCAAAAGTGGCAGCTGGTCCAGGGAAGAACAACTCCCACACGCTGTCACAGAGGGCGTTGCTTAGCAACATGTTACACCCTAAATACGGCTGTAACATGCTGTTAAAGCTGTAATTTGGTTTTAAAATGCATGTGACATGCTTGTGTATTTTTTTTTGCTCAGTAATGTGGAAAGGTTCTGTCTGCACATGGATTCCTGGTGATTTGGGTGCAATGCAATGAGGGTTGAGGAAAACTTAGTGACAGGGGCCCTAAAGCACACATCTACAGACTGTAACCATCTGTCCCAAATCTTATTATATTTGTTAGGACATAAGAAACAAGTGAAGTAATGGGACTTTAAAGTGCCCAGTGTAAACACCAAGAAATTACAAGTTTTGATTAAATATCACATTTTTAAAAGATCTCCCACTGGGCTATATCAACTTCACAGTGGCATGTTACATCAACATCACATGAGATACTAATGAGCTATTCGAAACCTATCTTCAGTGCTCCAAAATTGTCAGATCTACAAATATGAAACCCCTAACGTGTTTCAACATGCAGATAACATATGTCTTCATCAGAGGATTTATTGTCACTGATGATTTCTGTAATACATGTATATATCCATGTTTTTCATAATAAAAAGACAAGAGTTTACCAAAGAAATATCAGCAATAATCAAAAACATAAAGCAACTCCCATCAAACAATGTATATCAGAAAAAGCTCCTAATAGGCTGTGTCTTCAATGGGTGTCCTCCAGAGGTGCACAAAAATATGCACAAGGGATAAAAATGGCCTGTCCAAAAATATAGTACACCTGTCTCAGTTCTAAAATAACTTGGTGATGCTAAACCCAGGACCCTGCATTCACCATATCTGGTCTCCCCGGCCCCTGCATTCACCATATCTGGTCTCCCCGGCCCCTGCATTCACCATATCTGGTCTCCCCGGCCCCTGCATTCACCATATCTGGTCTCCCCGGCCCCTGCATTCACCATATCTGGTCTCCCCGGCCCCTGCATTCACCATATCTGGTCTCCCCGGCCCCTGCATTCACCATATCTGGTCTCCCCGGCCCCTGCATTCACCATATCTGGTCTCCCCGGCCCCTGCATTCACCATATCTGGTCTCCCCGGCCCCTGCATTCACCATATCTGGTCTCCCCGGCCCCTGCATTCACCATATCTGGTCTCCCCGGCCCCTGCATTCACCATATCTGGTCTCCTCGGCCCCTGCATTCACCATATCTGGTCTCCTCGGCCCCTGCATGCATTCTCCCCATATCTGGTCTCCCCGGCCCCTGCATTCACCATATCTGGTCTCCCCGGCCCCTGCATTCACCATATCTGGTCTCCCCGGCCCCTGCATTCACCATATCTGGTCTCCCCGGCCCCTGCATTCACCATATCTGGTCTCCCCGGCCCCTGCATTCACCATATCTGGTCTCCCCGGCCCCTGCATTCACCATATCTGGTCTCCCCGGCCCCTGCATTCACCATATCTGGTCTCCCCGGACCCTGCATTCACCATATCTGGTCTCCCCGGACCCTGCATTCACCATATCTGGTCTCCCCGGACCCTGCATTCACCATATCTGGTCTCCCCGGACCCTGCATTCACCATATCTGGTCTCTCACAGTACACAGAACATGGAAAGGCAATTATTATCGTAAATATAACCTGCTCAATACCTTTTCTCATCAGCAGTTAAGCAGTCGTGTGACTTCTATCAGTGTCCAGCAGAGCACTAGTTAAAGCTTGTAGGAGGAGTTTTCATTCTCCCGATTGTCTAGTGAGGCTGCATAACCCCTGACCCTCTGTCTGGACAGTGTTGATTGGCCCTGTGCTGATCACGTGCACACTCCCAAGGGAAAAAAAAGCCTCTCCAGCAATACGCACCAAACTGAGCATGTGCAGATTGCCCCTAAGGCTCTGTGCTATTAGCAGATGGTTTAGGGGACTGTGAAAGAAGGGGAGGATCAAAGAAGACAGAATCAAATATCCTTTTTACACAATGGAGGATTGCTGCATATACAAAGTAATTTTACTGTTGTGGTTTTAGTAACACTTTACGTTATATTAATCAAATTAATGTGGTGCTAAAAGCTAGCAAAGTATCAGAAATGACAAGGAGGATGTTGTTCGGACATCCCCTATTGGCATTTATAACGTTCTTAAAAGGCGGCGAATTGTTCACTTCAGCTATCCTGGCCGGTAATGTGGGGGGCAGAGCTTGAATCCAGCCACCAACTTCCTGCCGCCAAATGGTGTTTCATAAAGAAACATGCGCAGATATTTATCCATATGAGGATTGGGGAATAAACCCTGTAAACACTGTTTGGGGTCCAGTGATAGTGAGGTTTCCATATGGTTGTGAAGAAATTGAAGGACCTGTGCCAAAAACCCTCGACTACGGGGACAATGCCAAAGTAGATGACTAAATGTATCGGAGCAATTAAAGGGAGCTGCTTTATATCACTTCTCTCAATTCCCCCCCAGATTATGTGACAGCAGATTTGAATACATTTTTATGCTTCTGAGGGGGTTTTTTTTTTTTTTATCTTACAGAGCAACCCACCATTTTTTTATTTTTGCTCAGAGCTCAGCTGTGATATGAAACTTTCTCAATTGTAACTGGATGGAAAAAGTTGGGCTTCAGATCACATTGTACTCTCACTGCAGCCTGCACATCTCTGTTTATCATTTGACAGATTAATCCATAAACACATCCTGCTTTTCCAGCATTGTGTTCACACTGACATAATCCAGATTCATGTACAACCACCACCTTGTGCTGTAACGTGATCACCGACGCCGAATCTCCATAGTGTGCGGCTAACAAGGCCAAGCCCTGTAAAGTAAAAATTAATGACTGAGTTTCCATATTGTAAAATTAAAAATTCCCCGATAAACTCAAACTGCCAAGTAGATCTGTTTTATTTTTAAAAACACACATGGTATGTATTAAAGAGTTACATAACATGGAGACTCTACATCTGAGAATCAAAGACAGATGGAAGATTAACCTCTTGCCGACCGCTTATAGGTGGCGGCAGGAAAAGTGTGCTTTAACGCCAAGCCCGCCGTGCATGTGTGTCCATGACAACCTGAGGAGGTGTGCTGAGAGCGCCCTCCCTGCACACTGAGCTGTCAGTAACCACTCTCGGTCACATCTTGTGACTGGAAGCAAGTGGGACGTGCTCCCGATCATGTGACCACTGTTAGAGCCAATCACAGTTGTCATATGATAGAGAAGCTGCACTGCCTCCCGGGTATTAAAGGCTGCCTGGAAGTGATGGGATAAAGAATATAATTTGTTAGAAAAAAAAAAAATTAGAGAGATAGATATATATATATATATAGAGAGAGATATAGATGGATATATAGAGAGAGAGAGATAGATATATATATATATATAAGAGAGAGAGAGAGATAGATAGATATATATATAGAGAGAGAGAAATAGATAGATATATATATATATAGAGAGAGAGAGATATATAGATGGATATATATATAGAGAGAGAGATATGGATATATATAGAGAGAGAGAGATATGGATATATAGAGAGAGAGAGATATAGATATAAAATAGAGAGAGAGAGAGAGATAGATAGATAGATATATATATAAGAGAGAGATATAATAGATAATATATAGAGAGAGAGAGATAAAGAAAATATATATAAGAGAGAGAGAGAGAGATAGATAGATATATATATATATAGAGAGAGAGATATATAAAAAGATATATATATATATATATATAGAGAGAAGATAGATAGATATAAAGAGAGAGATAGATAAAAAAAAAAAAAAAAAAAAAAAAAAAAGAGAGAGAGAGATAGATATATATATATATAGAGAGAAGATAAATAATATAAAAAAAGAGAGATATAGAGAGAGAAAATAGATATAGAGAGAGAGAGAGAGATATAGATATATATATAGAGAGAGAGAGAGAAATGTACGAGAGGCCAGGGAACATTACAATTTTTTTTTTCTAATGATTGTTTTGATGCTTACTAAAGTGCCTCTGTCAGGAACAATTCCTACATTTTAATAACTCATCCTGGTCATTAAAGCCCCATTCACAATTGCAAATGTGGCCATTTTGACGACCTGTGGGAAACTCAGCAGGGTTCCCGGCAGCTGTTTGCAGCCGTTCACAGTCACTTATGCAGCAATTACCTGCGTATGATCGGCCCTGGATGCAGATAGGGAATGCTCGCTAAGTCTCCCACGGGTAATCTTACTGTCCTATTCCATTTGAATGTAGCCTTAATATGATGATAGAATTTTTATTTTATTATTTTCACCATATTTACAGGCTGTCCAATAAAAGTGACTGTCAGGGGCCTACGACAAACCGTAGCATTGCCCTCTGTGCTTACAACAGTCACTTTTTATTATCATGACGACATATTTTATTTTTTGACACAACTGCTCAAGCTTTCTTGGGGGCGGGGGAGTTAAATAATCAATAGAATAAGAGATCTACTGGGTTTCAGGGGTTCAAAAACCCCCTTACCCCTTCATCAGGGCTATGGTACAAATGAATGAATATATAAACATTAAATTCATGTTTATAAGGTATAACATCCTTTTATAAATGGTCCAATAGTAATAATTTAAAAAAAAAAATTAATTAATACTCGTGAGCCACTAGAAAGGTGCTTACTTACATCAAAAATATAATATAGTGTAATTTGGTGTATTATATAATTATATTAGATCGCAGGATACTTCGTTCACCCTCTCTAGGTGTGTATCAGTTAACAATATATTCCAATATAGTACTGCGCGGTACTATATTGGAATATATGGTCCAATAGTAATGTTATGTTATGACAAAATGGTAGCCACACGTTATAAAGAACCCTTTTAAGAAAAAAGAAAAATTGACTGCCTTCTATGAAATAAATGAGAACCCAGGGCAATACACGGCTGTCCCAGGAATTTTGACAGTCACCTGACACTCTAAACTACGGGTGTCAAACTGGCGGCCCTCCAGCTGTTGCCAAACTACAAGTCCCATGAGGCATTGCAAGATTGACAGTTACAAACATGGCTCCCAAAGGCAGAGGCATGATGGGACTTGTAGTTTCGCAACAGCTGGAGGGCCGCCAGTTTGAAACCCCTGCAAATCTAAACCATTCTTTAGACCAGCTGTCTGGCTGCATACTAGCTCATTGCTGCTTTGGGAATCAGGTGCCTTCACTACCTAGGCACACGGTAGTCCCCAAGCCATAGTTGACCTGACCAGACTATAATCTCTGGGCAGCTGAAAATTGGCTCCCAGCTGCTGATAAAATGGTGCACTGTTCCACCCCTGGATTCTGGTTGTTGCTGGTGCTTATTTACCTCTTGTAGGCCTGTTTTGTGTTACTAATTTTTTTTCATCATTGAGCATTCTAGGCCATCGAGATTCCGGTCTGATGTGTATATAACTACACTATTTTTGTTTTCCTCAGAAATGATGGAGACAGTGGATCTCGGTGAGACGCAACATAAGAAGCCAGGGAGCACCGTTCCTGAGTCTATACATACTTACAGTGAGTTTACAGTTTTTTTTTCTATGTGGGGTGTACACTTGTATATTAAGCAGTGTCAAATTGAAAAATCAAAACCAAGTGTATGAAATCAATAGTGAAATACAAAATATCGCGCTGGATGCGGAAATAAATTAAATCATGTGAAAATAACAATATCATAACATCTCTTGCTGCCACTATATAATTAAATCCAATAAAATTTAAAATTAAAACCCACAGTGATGGTGTAAAAGTGGCGCACACACTTAGCAGTGATAAACTAATCATAGAAATAACAAATATTTCAAAAAATTATTTCTATGATTAGTTTATCACTGCTAAATGTGTACCCCACTTTTACACCATCACTGTGGGTTTTAAATGTAAAATTGAAGTCCGCATTACATTTGTAATAAAATGAAATAAAACGTAAGTTTCAGCACTTTTTAGAGTAAACCTATTATTCCAAATTAGCCAAATCCAACATTTTTCAAAAACGTTTGCAACTTTGGCCTTTTAGTATACATTTTACATTGAATATGTGGGAATTATTTTGGAATTATTATATTGGATTTTTATTTGTGCAACTGTTACCTACTGTCCTACATCCATTGATGATGTTTTACCATCTGACCCTATATCCAGTGCTGCCATTAGGTCAAGGGGGTGGAGGGGGCAGGGCTTAGATCCAAAGGTCAACCCTATTACCCAGGCAGTGAAAGGAATACTGTAGGGTAGTGATGGTCAATCGCGGGCTACAGTGAGCCTCAGATGTGGCCCCTGACATCATCAAAGGGCCACAATTAATATTCCGTGAATGTAATGCTGCAGGCAGCTGTCAGACTGTAGACATGTAACAGAAGGTGGTCCAAGACTACAGGTGTGCGACAAGAGATGTTCAAAAGGCGCCAAACATGCTGTAGAGCTGGGGAAATGCTTCAGAAGAGTTGAGGTGGTAAACTACTGTGAGACTAAAACATAGTATAGTGTCTGCAGGGATCCTGAGGGCCACACAATTGCATCATACACCACGTACCTGGTTATGGGCTGTACAGGTCATCTACCAATTTAATATAACTGTATTAATAAATTATAACTCATATTTTATATACAAAAATATTAATGAACTGGATTGAGACAGAAAATTTTATTTCGTGAGGATTCACCTAATAATTGGCAAAGGGCCGCAGGCTGGGCACTAGTGCTTTAGGGTCTTAGTATGCCAAATGGGTTCCCAGTGCACTGAAGTAGATCTATATATCAACTCGCTTAGAATTAACTGGTTTTTCTGCAGTGGTTTGCCATAAAATGTGAGCTGATCCTCCTCAGTTTCTAACTTCAGCTTGTTTAGTTTGGCAATAAAACCTGGAAACTGATTGGTTTCTATGCAGAGCAGCAGTAGATTTTGCGCTCTCCAGCTTCAGTAAATAACCCCTAATGGGCTTAAGCTGATAACACACAAACCATTTGAATTTTTTCAAAACCATAAATAGGCGCTTTCTCAATGAAATTACACCATATAAATAAATGTCATAACATGAAAGTTGAAATACAAATCTATATAAAGTGCTTTCCCAACACCACATGTAATAGTGACTCTAATACAGGGTATGGTAAAGTCCAAAAATTGTAAATGCATGAGAGTCCCATAGGAGGGTGTTGCATAGATCCAACAGGTTCTTCTACACCACTTGTGTGCAATGAAGGTGTTGACCTTCGCTATGGGTGGTCAAATAACGCTAGGGTAATCAAATGACATATGGATTCCCAACTGCAGGCTCTCATATGGCGGGTCTCCAGGCTACCCTTCTTGTTGTAGTAGTAGCTCTCAAAGAAGCTCAAAAATAAAAACGAATTTCCATAAAGTGAAAAAATGTGCTCTAAATGTAGTATTTATTAAGAACCATGGTTCATAAATAAAGTAAAAATGCGCTCACATAGTATGGTGCCTGCACTCCGGCACCAGTCTGTACAGGCAATGTGGGGACAACTTTGTGTTAAGCCAGCGTGCGCTCCAAGCCTCATGTTAGCGGGCCGGACGTGACATCATGTAGGACCTGGAAGTGACTGGATCACACTTCCTAATTCAAATTTTTTGTCTTTATTGAACACACCCATTCAATATTCAGAGTGCTGGGGAGGGGGAGTAAGTAAATCCTTGGAGTTAGTAGCTGGCTGAACTTCCTTTGGTAGCAATGACTTCAAGCTTTCTGTAGCTCTGGATCAGACCTTTTACAACATTCCACTTTACAGACTGCTTCAGCTCAGACACATTTGTAGGATGTCTGGTGTGAACGGCTCTCTTGAGGTCATTCCACAGCATCTCTATGTGGTTGAAGCCTGGGCTCTGACTGGGCCACTCCAAAAGGTGCTTTTTCTTATTGTGAAACCAGTCTGTGGTGGATTTACTTCTTTGTCTAGAATCATGGTCCTGCTGCATCAACAAACTTCTACTAAGCTTCACCTGGCGGACAGCCATCCTGACATTGTTCTGTAGGATGTTTTGGTAAACTTAGGAACTCATTTTCCCCTTGCAAGCCCAAATCATGATGTTCCCTCCACAATATGTCACCGTTAGGACGATGTTTTGATGTTGGTAAGCTGTACCCTTTTTGCACCATATACAGTGCGGAGTATTTTTCTTACGCACTTCAACTTTTGTTCTATCAGTCCACCAAACATTTTCCTAATAGCGGTGTGGTTTGCTGAGGTACTCTTATGCAAACTTCAGGCATGCAGCAATTTATTTTTCCGGACAACAGTCGCTTCCTTCATGGTGTTCTGCCATGGATACCCTACCTGTTCAAAGCCTTATATATGGTAGACTCATGGATATTTTCCAGTTCCAGTGATGCTATCAAGCCTTTAGCTGTTACTCATGGATTCTTCTTTACCTCATTGAGGGTTCTGCATTGTGCCTTTTGGAGTCAGCTTGGCTAGGCACCCACGTCTAGGAAGAGTAGTCATAGTACTTAACGGTCTCCATTTATAGACCTTTTGTCTGCCAGTTGATAGATGCATAAATACTTTGATATTGCTCTGTATCCCTTTCCAGCCTTTTGCAGATCAACTACTCTTGATCATATGTTTTCAGAGAGCTCCTTTTTGCTTGGCATGGTTCACATCAGCTGATGCTTCCTATGAACATCAGTCTTAAAAGTTTGAGTGTCCTTTTATCAATCAAAGTTGCTCTAAACTACATCTCCAAATTCATTTCAATAATTTGACTCTAGTTGTGCAAACTACTTACTCCAGTTAGCTTTCTTTGAAGTAATTGGTCTGTGGGATCACTTATGCTGGCCATACAGTATACCATTTTCTTCAATTTCCTTTGGATTTACCTTCAACTATGTAGTGCAAGGGCCTGGCTGATTGCACACAAACTGAAGGTGTTTAGGTTTGACCTCATATTTCATGGATTTGGTAAATCTAGTGGAAAATTGTATAACGTATGGTCAGCCTTAGATGAGGATCAGATCACATTTTATGACAAATTACTGAAAACAGTTCATTCCAAAGGGTTCACATACTTTCTTGACAATGTATATACCTGTACGATATATAGTCCTTGGTAGATTTATTTATCTAATATTTAAAAAAGTAGAGTGCTGAAGCTGAAATAAGACACCATGAGATGTTCAGATTGTGCCCACAGGTCCCATTCCCATAAATTGTCCACAAGCAATTTTTAAACTGTGTGGGGTGGATGTTTCATTTTGTAAAGCGCTGCGCAAACTGTTGGCACTATATAAATCCTGTATAATAATAATGATATTTATTGCTTTTACTAATCAAAGATCTTTTTTTCTTTTTCCTTCCAGTTGGCGATGGCTTGGTTCAACCAGAAGCTCTGAATAAAAAAGCCATTCAGATCATTAACAGGGTCCGAGATAAGCTAACAGGTAGCGTGAGGCAATTTATCCACCTCAAAGGACAAAGTCTTGACCACAAGACTTGCCCTGCAGTGTTGTGCGGCTGCCCATAGATCACACTATTATAGTTGTCCCAACCCCTGGACAACTTGGTCTGCACATTGTCTTCCCATTTGTCTCAGTTGGATGTTCTGAGGTGTTTGTCTCATGTGATACAGGTTATATTTAATTTCTTCTCAGGTCGAGACTTTTCAAATGAAGAAACTTTGGATGTGGCCACACAAGTCGAGCTGCTGATTAAACAAGCCACGTCACACGAGAACCTTTGTCAGTGTTATATTGGATGGTAAGTCAGTTGATGCCACAGAGTTGCAAGTCTTGAAAAAGTCACTACTGTATATATCAGTCTTCCTCCGAGTTGTGCAGTGTTGAAAATGCAATGTGCACAAAAGGATTCCGCTCAGGACAGTCTTTCATCTCACTCAACATTTGGTGCTGACTCAATGTAGTCTGTTTGTATGTTTTTGTTTTTGGGTTTTATGGGGGCGGGGTTGTTTTTTTTTTTTTTTTTGTTTTGTTTAACCACTTCAAGTCCAGACACTTTTATCCCCTTCCTGCCCAGGCCAATTTTCAGCTTTGAGCACTATCACACTTTGAATGACAATTGCGCAGTTATGCAACACTGTACCCATATGAATTTTTTAGCATTTTTTTGAGACTGATAAAACTTTATTTTCGTGGTATTTATTCACCACTGGGATTTTTTTTTTTTTTTTTTTTTTTTTTTTTGCTATATAAATGAAGTACAAAAATTTTGAAAGTTGTTTTCTTATAAAATTTTGCAAATAATCTTTCTTCATAAATCTTGGCCAAAATGTATTCAGCTATCTTTTTAGTAAAAAAAAAACTCAAATTAGTGTATAACCAAAAATTATAATTTTTCAAAACAAATTTTTTTTTACATTTTTATTTTAGATTTGTTTGTTTTTTTAACATACTGTCACCCTAGCAGTACAGTGTAACCATAGTGACACTGTACTACTTGGGGGTGATGAAGATTTTTAATTTTTTTATATGATTTGTTTTTGTTTTTAACATACTGTCACCCTAGCAGTACAGTGTCACCATAGTGACACTGTACTACTTGTGGGGGATGAGAGAGATTTTTTTTTGTTTTTTTGTTTTTACACTAATTGCTTTTACACCCATAAAGGCTGTAAAAGCAATAATTTCTCCTTCTCTCTGGCTGCATTCTTGCAGCCATTGAGAAAGACTGAGAGCTGTGATTGGTCACAGCTTTTCACATGGTACAAGGCTGTTGTGAATAGCCTTGTACCATGTGATCTCTGTGAACATTCACAGATTTCACACATAGTAAGCAGTGATGTCAGGAAGTGACATCTTGGGTTTACTACTATTCATGTGATCACTGATTGGCCAATCAGTGATCACATGACCGGGGCCTCACACAGAGGTCCCGTACAGTGTTCGGTGTTCGGACACAGTGGGCACTGGATCGTGGTGCTGCACGCTCCCAGGGAGCGTGCACAAGCTGAAAATGCGGGCACCGTTTATGAACGGCAACCCACTCCTGCACTGCTCCCGTCTGGCTGTTTATATACATGGGCCGGACAGGAAGTGGTTAACTTCTCCAAGATTCAGAAAGCTTTACTGCTACTTAAACAGATATACAAACAACCAAGGCACTGTTTGCCTTTCTATCCATTGCAACACCTTAACAGAAAACTAGGAGCACAAATAATTGGACCATTTTGTTTGGTACCCTTTCATGAAGAAATAGGTTTTGGTTTACTGACACTTTAATTAATGTTTTTTTTGTTTTTGTTTTTTTAGGTGTCCGTTCTGGTAGAAAGACACTTGTTTCTGCTGTTTCTGAAGATGTCTGAAGATATTATTTCATGTGCCACCAGTGATGAAGGGGCATAAAGCGGAACTACATTGTATCTGAGCACCACAAACCAAAAACGCTATTTACTTCATTTTTAATCTTTAAAGCAAGCTCCCTCATTCATATTGAAAAACAACCCCAATCATTTCTGACTGCAACCATCTCAAGGGCAGATGATTCATGTAGCATTTACTTCCTGGAATGCATCTGCCCTTAGCTCAGGCATGAAGGCAGGAGGGCGTGCTTAGCGGAGAAAACCCCTCCGGAAGACTTCTGGGATGTACGATCATTTGCCTAGACATGGAAACCAGGAAGTAACTGAAGAAGTGTTAAAAGATGTAAATCCAGTAAATATGATATACTTTCCTATCTATTTACTAATGCTAGCAGTATAAGGTTTAAAAATAGTCAATGTTTGAGAGAGTGAAGTTCCGCTTTAATTTTTATCCAGAGTAGACCGCAGTAAGCTCCCGCTGAATGAATTTAGGATGGTCGGACTCATGTATATAGATTTTAAGCATTGTACCACTCTCAATCATGGTCACAAGTGGCATAGGCTGTTCCCTGCGCACAGCCCGGCCATAGAACGCAGGTTCGGTCCTCTCTGTCTGCCACAAAACCGCAACTGTCCCCCAACTTTAAATCAAGTGGATGCTAAGGCTGTCTAAATACGTGGATCTCCAGCGGTTGTGTAGCTGTGAAAAAAATTATGATTGTCGATAAACAAAATGCATATGTGATAAAAACTGCTTCAGTGCGGGTTTATATATTCTGTTGGAATTTTTAGATATATATATAATAATATTTGGAGTACTGCATGGAATTTTAGGATTAAATTTTTAGGTTATATTTTCAGATGCTGCAAATAATCTTGATCAGATATCGTTACTCTGAAATTTAAAGGGGCCCAGATAATAATCACCAATAAGCTGATACTGGTGTACAGTTATTAAATCCCCCAAGAGCTATTGGTGTCTACCATGCCTTGTTTTTAAGGAACAGTATATAAAAGGAGTGCCACAGATTTGTACGATCTCGACAACAGGTCACAGGATGCAGTCTGGAATCACAGCTCCTTCTTCATCAGGGCTTGTGTGCTGGTAATTATTGGGGGTATACGGGACATCAATCATACAAAAAAAAAAATGCAGATTCTAATACAAATAAATACTTCACTGAATGATTTGAGATCGCCATTCTGGACTTATCACAAACCTATGATGTTCACATCCTATTCTATACTGTTTGACATGCCAGGGATCCTTAAGGCTCATTTACACTAGTAGTTGGGGCAGTAAAACTCAGCTGTCGATCTGTGTTTTTACTGATACCTCTCCCCTCTTTTCTGGGAAAATGATACTCCTTGCTAACTACTAACACCCGCCGAGTATGACCCATTCATAAGAATGGGGCTGCTTTGCATGAGCCCTGCAACCATGGCAAGCAGGCGTCGTGAGGAGATGATACCCTGCCACCTCACCACCTGTCAAATGATCTCTGAAGAGCAATTTCAACGCGAATCACTCCTCAGAGACCAAAGCAAATGTAAAGGAGCTCATAGGGTTACTCTGGTTGACAGAGGGATTCTTTTAGGAATTTACATCAAATTACTTTTCACCTACCAGTGGGTTTGGCACTCCACCAACACATCTTTTGTTTTTTTAACAAGGTAGATGGAGAGAAAAATGGGTAGACTTGTCCTACTGTTGAATGTTTTAGTTGTCTAAGTGACATGATGATTCTTTGACTTAAAACAGATGTGAAACCAATCCTTAAAATCTTCTAATCTTTAATGTGTTAATCTCATTTCAAAAGTAATTTTCAACATTGTTAAATCTGCAACTTTTCATTAAAATCATACCTGGCAATCCTGCCATGAAAGTCCTCGTTCCAGTACTTTCTGTCAAGAGTTAGCACCGCTCTTTCGCTGTCTCCTAATTGTGCTCCTGCATTGTGGCCCTGTCACATTCACGCCAGTTTAGACTAGAAGCGACCATTACATTGCATATTAACTACTGCCCTCAAGAGGATTTACCCCCCCCCCCCCCCCTCTCTCTTGACTAGGCCATTTTTTGTGTTACGACGCTGCGCTACTTTGGGTGCAGCGTTGCATGACCGCACAACTATCAAATGAAATTTACGTCCTTTTTTTTTTCCATGGTGGTGTTTGATTGCCGCTGTGGTTTTTATTTTTTGCGCTATAAGAAAAAAATTTAGGCCAGAATGTGTTCTGCTACATGCCTTTGCTTTAAAAAAATCCAATACGTATAAATTAATTGGTTTACGTGAAAGTTTTACCGTTTACAAATGGTGGTATAAATACTGGAATTTTTGGGGGTTTTTTAAACTAGTAATGGCGGCGATCAGCGACTTATAGCGGGATCGCGGTGGGATTTCTGACACTGGGGGGAACTGACTTGGTGTCACTGACATCCCCAGTGACACCAATAGTGATAAAAAAAAAAAAAAGCACCGACACTGTACTAATGTCACTGGGCAGGAAGGGGTTAACATGAGGCAATCAAAGGGTTAACTGTGGGCTGTTTCACTTGTGTCTGTGTGCTTCACTGTAATCACACTGCTTTTGTTGGCTGTGCACAGCCATCCAAAGCAGTGTGTGCAAGCCCACAGAGAAGAGAACGGTTTTCAATAAGCAAAAAAGAAACAAAAAAAAAAAAGCAGCGAAAATAGTGAAAAAGTGGAAAAATAGCTGCTGGCAAGACAATCGGGTCAATTGTATATAAATAAATTGCCGCGCTCAAATGTCACAACTCAGAATCTGTCGCAACCATATAAGTAATAACATAAATGAGTCCAAATGTAGAAATGAATAGTCCCAGTGTTATGAACCATATAGTAGGTCACCACATGTCTTCAATATAATTAGTGCTCTCCACCACCAGAAAATGGTAGGACTCTTACCAGAACATGTGGACCCTTATAAAAAAGTCACAAACGCATGAGAATATATCCACCGGATCCCTCAGAATTGGGAGATGTTCTATCATGGTACTGGATGGAAGGATCACCTTCAATTCCTCCCCATTCTTAATCACACGATAATACCGCTCAGTATGGCCATGCAAAGAAAGACAAAGGGGCGACCATCGCATAAAACACGTTTATTATCATAAAGTATTGCATTCACATTCAGGTGGGCAAATCAGTGCTGTGTACAGTGTATTCTCCTGTCCCGGGAACAGGTACCCTTCCTGATGTTAGAGAACAGTGTGTAGACGTCAGGCGCACAAACTCCACCCGCCTCGTTTTGTCCCATATGACGTCGTGTGGGGCGTGGAAACAATGTATGACTGTTACCGCTGCTTTTTTTATAGCCATCCAGAGAGGGAATGAGCCCCCTTAGATAAATTATTGAAATTAAAAATGGCCGCTGTGTTACCAGACTTCGATATTGATTTTAAATGGCCGCCGCTTGGCTAAACCGAAC